GTTGTGTGCCCATAAAATACCCCGTCCGGGCTGAAATAAGGGGCTGTTCGCGTGCTGCTGGGGTTAATGAACAGGGTAATTGCGTATGGAAACACGCGGTGCTGTATTGCTTGTTTTTCCATATATGAACGGCGTAGTCACATTTCTCTTTCTGCGTTCTGCTTCAAGTGCAGCCTCAGGATCCAGATGTTTTGTTGTTTCTTCTGTTTTCAGCTTCCGAAATACCTTTGGTTTTGTCTTGCTCTGATTTAAGGAGGGTTTTTTTTTTTTGGTAAGATCTTAGTGTTCAAAAGTTATTAATTCCCTTGAACATTGATGCATTTGACAACTGAAATGAAAGGTGACTTGTTTTAATCACTGAAGACTAATTACCTAACTTCATTTCTTCCTCTCAGTCTCCCTCTCTGTTACTTTTGTGTTTTGTGGAAACTGCCATACAAAAAAAATACGGCTGCAGCTGGCACTAATCGTAGGCTCAGTGTTTAAAAAGGTTTAAAACTACGTGGAATTTGAACCACCCTGTTTCCTGTGGGCTTTGGTCCCCTCCAAGACCAGGGGCAGGAGTGCTCTGAGGTCACAACCACATCTACCGTGCAGAAATTAGTCATGTAAGATGATGAAAAATAAAGTAATTTTAAACAGTCTTTAAATATGGAATGAGTTTTATGTAAATTTAGTGGGAATAAAAATAGCTTTCATTCTGCCCCCATAAAAACTGAAATCTTTTGTGAAATACAGGTGATGAGGAGGGGAGAGGAATAACTTTAAAAAGGTTCTGTTGGAGCTATGTGGTCACAGTCACTTCAGACCTTACATCAATTAATTTCTAAGGCACACTGTTAGTTTACTGCCAAAACAATCAATATGTTGCTGAAATGTTATCTTTACACTCTAGTTTTATTTCACACTTGTGTCTTGCTCCCATCACTACACTGAACAGTGCCTGTTTGGGAGCTGTTGTCTAGTACTTGGATGAGATTCAGCTTCTGATTTTTTTATTTATTTTCTGAGAAAAAGGAAACTTAGGAAAGGCATCAAGAGAGAACTCTTCAAATTGTCTCTGGACTGGATCTGGTGCTGGGGAAGCAGGGTGGCTCAGCGCACGAGCTCCTTCCCAGCACTGGGAGGGCCCCTCTCTGACATGCCGCCAGGCAGAGGTAGTTTTTGAGCCCAGAGAAACCAAGTTTGGCCAGTGATGAACAAGATTGTCCGCAACCATCTGATGGCTGCTGCTTTCAAAGAGGCAGCTTCTCGTATTGGTGTCCTGAAGGCAAACGATATTTCACCAAAATCTTGATGAAGTGAAGTTGTCCACGCCTTTCCCACAAGAAGGAGGTCACAAGACTACTCTTTGTTTCAAAAGGAGAAATGGTGTAAATAACATCGCCTCTGTAAGTCAGGTGGGTGACAGTACAAACCAGAACTTCTGTAGGTGGAAGCGTTTGGTGGAATTCAGTTTCAGTTTTGAACAGCCTGGTGAAGTACAGGCACCCTGATCCTTCAGTGGGCTTTGGTTTTAAATGATGTATTGTGGCAGTTTGCAGCTCATCAGTGTTGCACAGCAGCCAGAAACATCTCAATTCATTTTTTTTAACATCCTCTTTTAGATTTGCTGTCACTTTGTATTCAAAAACCGTGCCCTTTTCCAGTAGGCTCACTTCTGTTTTAAAATGAAAAAAAATGAGGAACCAAATCATGTGTACATCAGGGATTTTTTCCACGCAGAGAGCAGTTAAGAAAGAGTATGTAAGAATCTGGCCTCTTCCAGCAGCTGTAGCAGGAGAGCTCTGGGCTGTGTGATTATCCACCTCCCTTACCCAACTAGGATTGGTAAGTCTGGGCTTTTTGTGCTTTTTTTTTTGGTTATGCTTTGTTCTAGAATGCAGGCACCACTTACTTTACTTGAAAGAGAGCAATTTTGCTCAAATTTCCATATTTTAGTTCTACATTAGCCCTGCAGATGCTTTTAAAGCAATACAGCAACATCTTTAACACGTGGGGACTGCATCCTGTTTGTCAGAAGCAAATGCAGCATTCCAGATGCCATTGACTGTTTGTCTTTTTCAAGAGTGGCACCTGCATTCCTAAGTTCCTAAGTGCTTAAGAAAACGTTGTCCTGCTTTTTGCATATGTAAATGAGCCAGTAGGTAAACGGTTATGCCAGTGTAACCTGGAGAAAGCCTGGTGTACTGCCTGCTGTCTGCTTTGGTCCCACTTGCAGGCAATTCTAATGTTACCCTCAGCTTCAGAGAGGGAACTGTGCAATTTAAGCTCAGAAAGAACCTCGAAAAAAAGAAAAAAAGCAAAGAGTTGTAGCATGGCAATGTGTAAATTTAGGGGGGAAGTCAAAAATTCCCATCTCTCAAGTAACTGGAGTTTTAGAATAGCTTTCTGGAAGGAGTACTGGGATTAAAAAAAAGCGACCCAGTGTATCAAGTTTAATTGCAGAACAATTAAGCCAGAGTGTATGGTTTGGTTGCTGATAGAAGCAAAGGAGCAGAGTGAGGAGGGTTTTTCCTGTTATATATCAAATATCATATTAAATTTGCAGAGGTTTAGTTTGTGTGAAAAACTGTTTTGTTTGTGTGAAAAACTATCTAGTGACTTGCATGGCGTTACTACTGGTGTAAACTGGCAGCACTGTGGAAAGTATTGAGCCTTTATTGTCCATGATATAAGCAGAGTCTGGTGTATTTCAAGCAGTAATGCCAGCATGTCGCATTCTTTGGGAGATTTACTGTGTACTCTTCAGTAAAACTGCCTCATCCCTCGCCTCTCCCTGCTGTTTCAAACCATGAGCACACCAGAGGTGTGTGATGGTACTTGAAATATGCAGAAATTAAAAAGACATTTGAAGCACAGTGGAGTGGAACTCCTCGGTGCCTCACTGGAGAGCCCTGGCCAATTCGGAATCAACCTCTAAGGCTGAATTGGATCTTGATTTCCTTCTTATGTCACCTCTTCAGCTCTTAGAAATGGTTGCCTTTCAATGGAAAAAGTTGATTTGTAACTGGTGGTGATGATATAGACCTGTAAAATAGTTTTGCTGACTTTTGCAGCTTGTAAGTGATCTATCTCAACTAGCCACGACACTGAAGAGATACCCAGGAACAGAAGTGATATTACAGATGAAGAACCCAGTTAATGCCCTTCCTATATCTTCAGAATGATTTTTGTTGGCATGGTATAGAGGTTAAAATCGTAGAAAAGCAAGCAGTTTACTAAAAATAAAAATTCTAGAGAAAGAGAAAAATCACAGTCTTTATGAAAAGTGCTGGATTTGCTCTTTATTATTATTATTCCTCCTTTTCCAAATAAGTTTGAGGTAGTCTGTCTGAATTTCTTTCCTTCACAGGACTGCATGGAGCTCTGATGATTAGACTGTTACGCTCGTCATGTTGGCAGAAGGCATCTTAACCAGACTCATGTATAAGGAAAGCTGTCGTCAAGATGGGTGTCACAAGTCTCATGCATCCAAAAAGGATAAAGAGGGAATCTGGAGACAGAAACTTGTAGACAACCCAAAAATTAAAGGCTTTTCTGATGGACTTGAGAAGCAGGGTGAGATCTCTGCTGATAGCAGCCAAGTGCAACACAGGAGTGGTCCTCAGCGGAGATCCGTAAACGAGATACCTGCACAAGATCAGAACACTCTTGTTAAAGGAACCGTGTCACCAGCTTTGCATATCCCCAAGAGAGAACAAAACGTGGAGCAGATGGATTTGTACAGATCCTGGTCGTGCAACAGCATTTATCAAATCTATCCTGACCTGCATATCGGGGGAGACCGTGTGGGGGACCATCTGTGTGATTCAGGTTGTGTTTTGGACCATGTGTGTGATGACCTTCCCGATGGCCCTGTGTTGCTGTCCGCAGATATTCCTCCGGGTCAGTCCCCTCCATGTGAGCATCCTGAAAAGCCAAGTATAACGTCCCTGTCTGGAAATGAAGCTGAAGAAACGAGTATCGTGCTCTGCGAGGAGCCTCTTTCAAACTCTGTGCTCAACAAGTACATGGAAACGAAAGTGGCAGAGCTCTATAAGCAGTTTTTTGAAGAAAACTTGATGAGATGTGGTTCTGTAACCAACCTCCTCACCTGCAGCTTGATAAGGAATAACCTGAATCAGATAAGCCTTCAGATATCCCAGGAGCAGAATATAGAAACATCAAAAGCCAGAGAAGTGCTTCTGCACTCTTTAGCTTTGTTTAGTTTGCGCAACGCTACCAACAGGAGTAGCTCTGAGTTCAGTACTCCAGACTTACAAATCTCCAACCCGGCACGCGTGAAAAAGAGCTGCAGGATGCAGTTTGCATCGTGACTGATGGATGTAGCCGAAGCCATGAGTACGATTTGGATATTAATTATTTCACTCTAAGGATTGGGTTGGGAAATGAAAACGTTTACACACTACAGACTTTTTCAAATAAATATTTTAATGCTTAAACCATGCTTTGTTAGCAGAGGAAGTAAAGGTCACGGTTTTCTTTTTTTCTAATATAGAACTTGAAATTTATTTCTCCCAAAAATATGATTGACTAGCATTTTAATAATACATATGTCCTCCTGCTAAGCCTCTGGCTGCATGAGTAGTTGTACTCACGTACCATCAGATTTACTCCTGCAAGAAAAATCAGTCAAGATGTGTGCTGGTAAAACTTTGCTCTAAGAGACTGATCCAGCCAGTAAGTAAGAGTCAAATTGTCCTTGCTGGGCTTTGGATTGGGCCATATAGTTGAAGCCCAAGTTTGGGACATTCAGCTTGAAATTTCGCTCCTGCAAACATCGATCACAGTGGCGGAGAAAATATTTCTTTGGTTTGAAAATCTTGTCAGCAGATGGAGGTGTTTAGGGCTCTGGATTATTTTGTATATAGCATAATACATAGCAAATATATCCAGATGGTACATGGATGAAGATGCCAATGTTTTTGCATATGTATGTTTGTGCTGCATAGGTGGAGTATGTTACAATGACAATCTAGGTGAAATAGTTGATCAAGATTGGAGAAGTATTTCATTTTCTGTAAAAAATGTTTTTCTTTTAAATAAATCCTTAGCTCTTCGATGAAATCTGCACAGCTTTCTGTCAGTGTGTTGTTTTATGTTCCATTTACGTTTTTAGTAAGTGGACTCTGCCTTTATTTCCTTGGAAGTGAAGCACGGGCGACCTTGGCAAGCGAAGATGACTGCAACGTTTGCTTCATCGTCGTTTGGAAATGTAAATGCAGACTTTGATACGGAAATGTTACTTCACTTTCAAACCCATTTTCTTCCTTTTCTCTTACTTCTTCTCAGTAAGTATTTCAACTGGGAATTAACCACTGTGTCACCATTGTACAATGATAAATGAATTGGGCTGTTACCTGCTCTGCAGGAGTTTCCTTCTGGCAAGGAAACCTTTACTTGCACGATGGCAGTGTGGTTTGACACGTCCAAATTCCTAGCCCTGCAGTGCTGAGTGTGCGGTCACAAAATCCAGCTATCTAGCAACAAACTGTATTTATCCGACTGTAAGCTTCCAAAATGCACGCCAGTTAAACCATTTTGTCCAGTGTCTGATGCCACTCGATGCATCGGGATGGGATGAGTTATGAAGCAGAGCTGCTCAGTGAAACTTGCTATGAAACATCTAACGTAACCCAAACCCTTTGTCTTTGGGACACAGCTCTCAAACCCTGATGCATAATATGCATTTTTTTAAATCTTTGTCAACCCTCTAAGAGAATTTGAAGGATCTTGTGATCTGTAGGAAATAATACATCAAATGCAAACGTATTTGTGTTTATAAATCAAGGCCCTTGACATCTGATCAGTCCTTTGAAGATATCAAAGTTGTTTGTTGGGTTTTATTGGGGTTTTTTGCTTGCTATTTTGTTGTGTGTTTTTTTTTTTGTTGGTTTTTTTTTTTTAAATTCAGCATCTTTAGTTCTTGGGCTTTTTGAAAAATCATCTCTGAGCTGGCATTTATAATGAAAATAGCAGTAGGCTTGAAAGAATGTCTCAGAATGTTGAGAAGATCTGAATTCATAAGGGATTCACCTTGGAGCTCTCATTCAAGTAATTTAACTTATTAATTAGTTTTATTTACTGTAATAGAAATTGTGTGATAGGGCTTAGAGTTAAAATTGTACCTGTGTTGGCCTATAGAGAGAAAGAAATTTGCAGGAAAAAAGGTGTACTGGACCCTTAATAAGCTGTACCTATGTAAAGACTGCACCTTCATGGCATGGGGCTTTTTTTTGGAGGAGGAGGAGGATGCAACTGCCTCTGTGCGCATCACTGTGTGTGATGTCAAACAGTCTGCTAAATAGATCAGCGTGTGTAATGGAAAGGGAACTAAAACCCATGAATCTTGAGGTTTTTAACCTTTTCAGGTGCCTTGCAATGGCTTTTAGGATTGGTGGAACTTAAATTCGTCGAGCCATGCACTTTAGTCATGTACAGAATGTCTGACACACATTCAGGTGCAACCATGTGGGTTTAATACAGTGTGAAGATTCAAACTTGAGACCAAACCTCAAAGCTCCAAAGCAAAACACAAAACAAATAGTTGGCCAACAAGGCTGCTCAGTCCAGTGGATGGAATGAGCCCATCTGAGCAGGCACTCTGCTTCTCTGGAATTGCCTTGAAAGCTGGACAGTCATTTCCCTCAGCTGCCTTTGAAAATTCTATTCCTGCTCTTTATTTTTCATCTTGAATGCCCAACTTTCAATCTTTTATGTTATTTTTGCAGGCAGCCTCTTCAGATTATTCCGTGATGGCATTGTGAGGGGATGGGTATTTTCACACGGATGAAAGAAAAGAGAAATTGCTGTAGTTTGGTGACTGGCAGGACTGAGAAGAATCTGTTCCTGTGGGAAAAGTGATTTGGGTGGCCAAAGTAAGATCCTCTCCCTCCCCATTAAAATGACAGGCAAAGACC